CCTCTCTCACCATGTTGATGCTAAAAATCAATTTTTGCTGAGGGTTTTTTGGGCACCCCCCCCCCTCCATTATGGACCTAATTTGTTATTATGTTGAAGTTATGGTAGTAGTATAAAGATAGAAATAAGAAAATTCGTCCACAAAATTTACAACAGAATTTGTGCGTCGTCCTTCCCTAATATGAGAATAGAATAGGAACATAAATATTTGGCAATAACTGTCAAGATACATTTGACTGGATGTCAGTCATGGAGGACATGGGACCCGTAGCCTTTTTTGAAGGTTTTTGTTCAGCATCAACCGAGCGAGTATACGTTTTTTCGTTCAGCTAAATGTCGATCTAGATAATTTAAATGAAAATTAGCTCCTCTAATTTTAGGCAGGACTTAATTTATCACGATAATGTCATGAAACGTGTGATCTCTCATGTTTCACTTCGACGGTTTTCGAGATTATATATAACACAGAAGTTAGACATTCCTTAATAGACTTTGGGAGGAGATCTTTAGTTGTATAATCATTCAGAAAGCCTTAGACAATCCAAGAGACGTCTGACGTCTGACAGTTATGTGTATAAATTATCAAAAACACGATCAGTTGCATCAAAAATCAGTCAATTTGGATGCGTATAATCAAGATAAGTAATCAAGTAGTTTTCTGGAAGAAATCAAAAGTGGATGTTGAATTTCAATTCTGTCCTTTTACTTTGTAACATGAAAATTAAAACCCTGTGACTCAAACTCTGCCAACAAAAAAGTTCTATTGAATGAGCCGTGTAAATGAAAACGAATCATGATAAAGAGCATTTTCACAAGTCATTAGCAGCTCCAAAAGTTTACTAACACCTCGAGGGTTAGTTTAAACATGCTCACATGCCGTTAATTCCTTGGCACTGGAACTTGAACGCTCTGAAAAGAGAATCAACCGTTTTTGGGGAACCCGTGAACACATTGTATGAGCATTTTTATATTGATTAAAAGTTGAAACAAGATGTTTCTTTTCTGATTTTTTATTCTTGCGCCAATCTCAACTACATATAATGGTAACCACCACTGGCAAGTTGACTTCTTTCCATAGATTTAAATGGAGAAAAAACAATGTTGCCAACCTGCTGGATCAGCCAATGACCTGGACTTCAGAGTGTATACCGTCAAAATTAAGTAGGGACCAGGATGAGTCATTTGAATTAAATTAAGTAGTCTTTTTGAAGTGGAAAGCTCAAAAATTCGCAAACGTAGATCGTAAAATATAAGGAGTGAGTTCAAACTATTCCGATATTCTCATCGTGATTTTTGAGCTTATTTTCATCGAACACATCTTAGACACATCTTAGGACACATCTTAACATCATTATTATTTTGCTTTGGCAACAGTTTGTAGCAGGTTATTTGCAAACTTTTAAGAATGAAAATGACAGTTGCTGTAATCAAGCGCAGATGAGTCAGCCGGATATTCGTGCTTAGATGATTATCGCTATTCGCCGTAACTCCTCAAATAAAAAATTCAATAATGTTATCACATATTGTCAATCATCCATACTTCGTTTTCAAATCAAGTTTTATATAGGACTTCCTCTCATATTTCGCAGAGCTACACCAATTGATTGCTGTTATTTAAGGTTCCGTTAGACCGACAAAATGACTTATCCGTATCGCAATTCAAATCACCACCCTGACGCTTCCTTTGAGGTTGAAATTTGAAAGCCCTTACATTTTATTCGCACATTTTCAACATTTCCTCTCGATAGATGAACTTTAGACATCGTCAATGCAATCATCGTAATTTTTAAGCAAACACTGGTAAAAAAAAAACCTCTTGGACCAATGCCGCGGTGCATTGACTTAAGAGTGCAGTTTCTTGTCGCCGGATTTAAGAGTCTTGAACTCTTGTTTCAAGCGGATTTTGCATTGATTCAAGCGGATTTTGCATTGAAACAAGAGTCCAGACTCTTAAATTCGGCGACACGAAACTGCACTCTTGAACCAAGAGGTTTTTTTTTTACCAGTGAATGCTAGTGAGAATAATAAGATTTTGTAGTAATTTGTATGACATACTTAGAATTTTAAATGCGAGTTATGGTCTTTCAGATCCACCGCACCTTATAAAGCGACGTACTACGTGTTTTTGGAGTGGACAGCTATTCGCGTTCCATGGTAAGATTGTTGCCTATATGGCGAAATTGAAGGCAACCCGCCGTGGAGGTTCTGTGTCCTAGATGCGGCGAAACTGAAGGCAAACTTTAAGTTGAAAATATCTGTCAGTCGTATCATTCTGTAGTGCTATAGAAGTTTAAGGAGCAAGAAATATTTATATTTTTCGAATTAGTTACAATTCCGGCTACCGAGTAGGTATATCAGTCGCCTGTGCGGCAAAATTGAAGGCGAACTTCAAATGAAAGACTTCCACCATAATATGTCGGGAACATTTTTTATTGATCAAGGCTAAACTTTATATTTATTACTTGACATTAATGTTCATTTTTCAGACATCAGCGAAAAAAATCAAAACTTTGGCTCTCTTAAAGACTGTCTCGTTTTCAAAAGTTCAGCGCTCTCTTAATCTAATCTTTTATCTAGCCGAATGAGAAATAATTTTGTTGGGAGTGGCACTGGCCCAGGTCCCCAGCACATAATGTAACTATAAGAAACTATCTCAGCCTCTACAATTTTAGATTCATTCCTCTCACGGTTTTTTTTTTATTCTTTTTAAGACGAAATCCTCCAAATTTTCATAGCTGCTCTTAAGTTTTCCACCTGTGCTAATTTTTTCTCTCGTCAAATCAAGAGGCAACCTATAAACTCTAAAGCAACACTCTAAAACAACTTAGGCGTCATTCAAAATTGTAAACTTTTTCCCCACTTTTTCCGCTCTCTTTGGTCTCGTATCCACGTTACGGAACATTTTTCCAAGATTTGTCGCTGCGAAAACACTTAGAAAGTGGCGACTTATTGATTGTTGTTCCAAGAGTAACAAAGAGGAGAGGAAGTACCGGAACAACGTTCTGTGTCATTTTGTTGTTAACTCGATCGTTTCTTCTTGTTTATTGTAAATATTTTGTTACCATCAGGTGAACGTGCCGGAGGGGGAGGGGTTCATAAGACGCGTTTACTCGTGTTGGACACATGTTTTGCGAGAGCCCTGTCAACACTATACTAGCAAAATTTCACGGAACTTGGCGCGATAGTTAAGTTCCGTAAACCTATCTCTGTGTGGACAATGCCTTCCATTTATATGAAATGAACGAAAAGATAATTACAGAACAAACATAAATGTGGTTTATAATTTTAACTTCCGTCGCCGCGCCGCGCTGCCCGCTCTGTGTTTAGCGCAATGCGTGAAGTATTCCCACAATTTTGTATGCGCTATGAGTTTCACACCTACCGCTGCTGCACGCACTGTGTTTGACGCAGTGCATGAAGTATTCATGCTGTCTTGTAGGCGCTATGCGTTTCACGCCGCCCGCTGCAGACTGCAGCGACCGCACTGTCTTTAACGCAATGCGTGAAGTATTCATATGCAGTCTTGTAGGCGCTAATATGTGTTACATGCCGACCTTCGCACCGCACCGAGGGTTTCTCCGTTTCATCTCAAGTTCTCGTCATAATTGCTCTCTGCGCCACGCTTTTCCAGACCAAATTCCGTTTTCGGTTTCTCTCTCAGTCTTAACTCGACTAATTAAAGGTGCCGCCTATTGTATCACAGAGGGACGAAAAAATTAAAAATATACTCTCAGGAAATGAGAGATTTTGTCACCTTTTCTCGTTTGTAATTTTTTTTTTCTGATTCCGAATTTTCTTTGTAGCTACATTTTAAAAAATTGCGAAATTTGCCGCCATGGGCCGCGGCCCATGTGGCCACCCCCTAAATCCGGCCCTGTCCGTGCAAAGTTGTTGCAAGAACGTAAGAGTTCCGCCTCATGTGGAATCAAAATCCTCTGGAGTTTCTTTCCCGCGATTCGACGCCGAGACCGATCTTCCAAAACTGTCCCTGGATATCAAGTCTTTATCTATACTTTTCTTTTTTCTTTTTTCTTTTTCCTTTTTTCTTCCTCGTAGCTTTGCTTCACTCTTTTTAGGCCTCTGTCTTGATGGCGCCTAATGCAAAGGCTTTTGATGAGCTTGATGACTCTGAATCCGGCCGTGCAAAAGGCATACCCTCAACAGTTTGTTTTTACATTATTCCATCCATTTTTATGTCTTTAATTTTCCTGCATAGATAGGTGCTTAATGAATGAACCGGAGATAGTGGTTCTTCATTACAAAAAGCAGTACAATCTATATTACTTAGTACCGACCCTGACGAATATCAAAATTGAGCGGTACTCCACTATCGTTTCCCGGTCAAAAAATTTAGAAAATCATCCATTATTTAGGATGTACCTTCGACCTATTCGCGAGTTTCTGGAGGACAGAAATCAATTTCAAATTAGCCGGCCAGGTTGGCCTAGTGGTCAGCGCGTCTGACTCCGGGTCAATACATCCCGGGTTCGGATCCCGATGGTGGCGACAAATTTTCATGGAATTGACGAGTGGATCTGCAAAAACAGATTCTACTCGGCCTTAATCCTGAAAATTTGAAAGCTTGGAGCATGGAAGTGCACTAGCCCTAACCTGGTGCTCATTCAAGGTTGCAGAATCCTCAAATGGCTTAAAGACCTCAATTAACTTTAAAATGAAATCATATAAAGCATCCAATAGAACATGCCACCGACCATTTCGTGAGTTTCTGAAGGACAGAAATCAATTTCAAATGAAGACTTTTCGTGTACTTTTGCAACTTATCGTGAGAGAAATGAACTTTTCGTCGCAGCCGGCGCTTTATTGGTTTTGAGTCATCGATCGAAAATCGCCAGGGAACCCGCGGGGCCGATCAGCCGAGAAAAAACGCGGACTGGAGCACTGAAAAAGCATTGAAAAACAAAAATCAAGCTCCGGCTACGTTACGTAACGCGCTCGGACACATCCTTCTCGATCCGTGCCGGCCCCGGCCGGAATGCGCCCGCAGTATTCCATCTGGATCGGCCGCGCTACGTCGCTCCCGACTTTAATTGTCCCCACTCGTTACGTCACAGAAAAGCTACCCCCCACCCTCCCCGTTTCCCGGCGTAATCCCGTGCCCCGCCGAAATTCGCACTCCGGCATCCCGTCCGTGAAAACCGACGTCGGAGGACACTCCTAACTGGGTTGATCGACTCAATTACCAGGACAATAGCCCCGAGCACGGGCCCGTCCGCATTTCGCTCCGAGGCCGCGTCAGATTCGACCTAATAATTTCAAGTTTAAAGTTACCCGCAGCTCGTTCGTTTCCCTCTTCCTGAATTCAAGTTCACACTGCGTCTCGTGACTGTTCGGTAAAATGACCAGTTTCATTGGAAAATTGTGACGTGCGTTTTCGCGTTTTCGTTCATTGCAAGTCGTGTTCATCGAAAAGTGCCAAATAACCTTATCTTCCCGAGATTGGCAAACCCGGATTTCGAATCAGCACTTGAGATTTTCGAACACGACTATCCTTGATTACATTCCCGAGATTTTGTTCCGTCCCCAAGCTCGGTTTCGATCGCCAGTGGAAAGTTACAGCGGTTTGAGTGTGACCTTTTTTTTTTTTGCATCCTCAGTGCGGCTTTTTCCCACCAAAAAGTACGATTACCGCGGTCAAGTCTTCGGCGATCTCTGCTGACGTCGATGTATTCCACTTTCGTTTGGAAGCGGACTTTGCTTATTCTGTGCGATCTGTTGACTTGAGAGCTCCTCTCAAAAGTAACGCGCTTATTAAAAGTGTTTGTGTTTACATTTGTGTACTCGCGCTTGGATCGCTTATTTTTTAAGTAAGCGCTAGGGTTGCAATTATTCCCGGAGAGAGTTGACTTCGATTTTAACAGTACAGTATTTTATTTGTGGAAGTGCAATTCTCCACAAGGGAGATCTAGCTATGACGGATAAAAAACCTCAGAAGTCTGCACATCACAATTATAAAATAGTCAGGTACTTTTTGTTTCATGCATTTCGTTTCTCTTATTTTATAAGAATAATTTTAAGGTGCCTTTGAAAATAATCAATTGAATTAGTTTTCTCGTGTTTTAAAAGTGAGTCATGTATTTTTCCTGTACGGAAAAATAAATGCATTTACATTAGATTGACCCACAAAACAAAAATTAGGGAAAATTTCAACCGTAAAGTTCTTAATCGCCTAATCTACGTTAGAAAATGAGAGAACAAAATTGGGGTCGAGTGGACACACTTGACCTGAAAACCGACCGCAAACCGCTGTTAGCATTTTTGCACACAAAAATCACGATTTATTTGTGTTTTCGATAATTTTTCCGTCCCATGGAGAAACGTCAAATTTATCTGAGAAGTATAACCAAAGCACATAATATTGTTACCCTAATCGAATCGTATAGAGGGATTGAGAACCCTCAGATAATTATTCATGCAAACTGTGTATTCTCCGGGCTTTCAGGGTAATAAAGTTCTTTCATGACTGTCCGGCGCGGGAAACCTTAATTGAATGTCATGTTGTGCTATTTTTTTACATTTGGACGTATTTATGTTAAAAGGAACTAAGTTGCACGCAAATCCTATGAACATAGATCCTTTCAGCATAAATACGTCCATTTGAAACTAGACCTCTGAAGGGCCCCCACTGCATGGCCGTTATGGTTGAAACCTTGCCAGTTTAGACAACTGAATGGACCTTTCCTAGGTCTAGACCTGATACGAGTAATTTTGCATTATAAAATAAAAAACAGGAAGAATGTAAAGAGGTTTGAATCGTTCTTCCCTGTCACTAGGTCAGCTTAAAGTAAGAATTTTGCGGAAGCTTGCGAGGCGCACATGAAAATTTCCTCGAATATCAATAAAGTACAATTTTTTTCAGGTTTCCTCCGTACAGGGTGATCCAAAAGTCCCATCCACCCCACCTAACTTTTTCCCTAATTGAGGTAAATATTTGGAACTTGGCAAATTTTCCTTGGTCAAAGAGAGCTACTTTTTGGCCCCCTTAAAATTTTCAGGGGGCCCTCGGATCTTTCCATTTGGAAAAGAATTGAGGGTCGATTGGCCCTTAAAAGATCCCTGAACATTTTAAAGGGGCCGAGAAGTTGATCCTTTTATTCCAAGGAGTATCCTTCAAGTTTCAAATCTTTATCTTAATTGGATAAAAATTTAGATAAGGAGGAAGGGACTTTCGGCTCACCCTATACAGGGTGATCTAGGGTTAAACGACCAGACTACAGGAGCCGAAACACTCTCAAACCCCCTCTTTAAATTGAGATTTCAATTTTCTTATATCATCCACGAATTCAGGGCATAAAAGTACAGGAGATTACAAAATTTCATGAGAATTGGTTCACAACCGTTGCCAAGATTTAGGAAGAACGATTTACTTTCCGAAATTTTGGGGGGCCTAGCTCCGACTGAGGGCACTTTCGGAGAAAAAATTATACAACAAAAAAGTCTTATTTTGACCCATAGAACACGCTCCTGCAGTCTGGTCGTTTAAACCTGGATCACCCTGTATAATGTACACATATTTGACATTGCGGAGGTCCATAAGAGCCCAAAAAAATGTTTCCCAGGGTCCAAAACCCGCTACGACTTGTGATAAGAGCATCGTAAAACATTGCGAAAGCATCATCGTAAAGTACTCATACAATACACATGCTCTCCAGTAACTAGGTACTCTGAAGTCATTACACACGGTAGCGCGGCTGTGCCGCACAGTGGATCGAGTCAATAAGAGAGATCGGACATGAATTTTTCTACTAAAACTGCACATTTTGATGTTTCATTTGTCACATTTTAAATTTCAAAGGGTGTATATCTGAAAGAATATTTCACGAGAAAACCATTGGAACCACTTTTAAGACCTCAAAGTTTTGTATGAACGGAGTTATAAGCGTTTAAAGTTTCCAAATTTTGTCCGACCTCTCCTATTGACTCGATTCAGTGTGTGCCGTCTCGCGCGTGTACTACTATGAAACTGGAGCTGGAGTGTGATACGATTCAGAGGTCGCTCGCGCCCGCGAGTGCGCATGCGCGTGCGCCGAAAGATGGGCGCGCTTGCAATCAGTCAATCACACCAGCCATTATGAAACAATTAACGGAAACAATGACAGTTGCACATGCAGTCAGCGCCCCTGCATTCTGCATTCCGCGGTTATAACATGCATGCATACTGTAATTGTATTTGCAGCCTCGATGGATCGCGTCGTGCGGATGAAGTATCAGGTGAATCCGTAGTAAGAGATTTTCCACCACGAGAGGCGATACCGCTTAGCGCCTCCTTGATTCACTTGATACTTCAATCACACGAATCACACTGAGGTTGTAAACGTAATAACCGCATGCATGCATGTTAAAACCGCGGGATGAAATAAGTATGAGCACGCGGTGTCTTTTTTATATGTGTGCATGCCATAAAATGCCGTATGGTCCATTTACCGCGCAGCTATGACTTATACCAATTCTAGAGAGATAGTTTTAGAAAATATGGTTTATACTAACCGGCACGCCTTCTGGCCACTACGCGGTCCAACCCCGAGAAAACGCTTTGCTTCCTCGAAGATAACGCCTACTGGGTCTGATTAAGGACCGCAAGGACATGAATTTGACCCCACCAATCATCATCCAGGAGACCCTCCAGCCCCATTTGAAGGGGACAGTTTCCGTTTCGTCCCCGCAAAAATTGCCTGGTCTGAGACACTCTGTATGCATTCCAGAAATTTAAAAAAAAGCTCACACGTTCTAACAGTCGAAAAAATCATGGATATTGGCTTTAAAGGTCCATAGAACGAACTGACAAAATACAAAAATACACATTGTTTTGGTAGGAAAGTTCATAATTTTAGTACATATAACATTAAAAAGAAACTGTATATTATTTCAAAGATTTATTCAAAGGAACTGAGTATTTCAGCTCGCTTCGCTCGCGTTTGTGACATTAATGTCAGCGGTGACGTTCCGAATGCTTTTAATTTTTTTTTTTTTTTGCTTTCATAATATAATCTAGAAAAAAGAAAAAAAAACAGGAGAAGGAAAAAGCAAATGATGTAAGTGTATTGCAATATTGCTAACGTTACCCTGGTAAAAATTGGCAGTAGAATCTGTGTTCCAAAATACTATGGACCTGAAACTGGCTGTAAGATTTCCAATAGCTTCTGTAGCCGGCAACACAATTTCTTTTAGTCTTTTACAGCCGATGGCGATTAAGCAATAGCCAGACGATACATTTTATGCTACACGTTACGAAATACGGATACTAGGACTTAGTTAGTTTTTGGACTACCGCTCCCTTTTTGTGCCGTTATTTCTTGATTTATTTTGCGAGGAAAGCTCCGTACTTTTGAAGGATGCCTGTCATTCTCAATGTGTTGGAGCGCCTTCAATTTCTTATGATACTATGCAATACATCTGGTGTGAAATAGTTGCTTCAGACGCCGTGGCACGCTGCGGCGCGGCGGGTGGGCAGAAAGCGCGGAACGCGCATTGGCGCCTTCAAACCTAACAGGAATACTTCACGCATTGCGCAATGCGTGAAGTATCCCTGTTAGGTTTGTAGGCGCCAGTGCGTCGCCGCTCCGCTTTGTGTTAGGCTCTAATATTTAGTCTCGCGGAGTCAGCGTTTTTCAACTCATGATTTTGAAATGTTTACACACTCTGTATGCATTATTCTCATTTTAATTGGTGAATAAAAAAATGTTTCAAAGAAAAATATAATGTGTGTTTTGTAAATATTAAGGTAGTTCCGTATCAAACTTAATGATTTCCAAAGCACACGAATTTCTACACAATTTCTCATAGCCTTTTATAGCCAATGGCGATAAAGTGTAAAGCCCGGCAATAGGAACTATAGCCCGACTGTATGCATTTTTATAGCTTCGTATACAGCCCGGCTATATGATTTGCTCCGCTTTCTACAGCCAGCTATATGATAGCCTTCTTTAGTCGGCTATAAGAACTCGTATGGTATTTTGAAACGCAGCTCTTATCGCCAATTTTTACCAGGATATCCGATCCAGTATTTACATTTAAAAAATCCAATGTTCCAAAAAGGAAAGACGGAAAATGCGTTTGAACTCCATTTCAAACTCAACCCTCGCACGACCGGAAGGAACACAATAATTGATAATTTAATTAAATTGACGCGATTCTTACAAAAGCTATCGTGTAAACAACCAATTCGCCGACAGATACCGCCTGACTATAACATGGGGGCTGATACCACTATTTGACCACGTGGGAGCTGATGTTGCCTACCCGAACAATTGAAGGCGAACTGATGCGATGTGAAAAAGACCTCTTTCGATTTGGTATGAAACCATTTTTAGATGTGTTTCGAAAGAGCCTGCCATTTTACAACGATTGCTGTTCCTCTTTCCTCTTTCACTTTGCTTCACCCTCTCCTGGTTCTCTCTCAATTCTACTTTCTTTTCTTTTCTTCTACTTTCTTTCTCATCTTTCTTTTCACTCTCTTTCCTTCTTACTTTCTCTTTATACATCCTCTTCTTCTTTCTCTTTTCTCCTCCTTTTTCTCTTATCTTCCTCCGCCTTATTTTTTCTCGCCTTTCTCGTTCCTCTTCCTCTTTGCTTCATCTCTTTCTTCTTCCTCTTTGCATCATCTCTTTGTTCTTTCTCTTTGAATCATCTCTTTCTTCTTCCTCTTTGCCTCATCTCCTTCATCTTCTTCATCTTTCTCGTTTACTTTTTTCACTGTTCTTCTTTTCATCTCTCATGCTTCCATCTCCATTCTGTTTTCCTATACTTATTCCTTCTCTCCTCTCCTCCTAACTCTGGAATTCTTCAGGTTAAAATAACACTCGTTCCTCTTGTATAGACTTGGCGACATTTTTAGGTATATCGTTGTAATAATGTGGAACTAACAATCATTTTTTGTATTTAAGCAATCTTCAGGTAATGAACGAGCTTGAATACGTTGTTTACTTGAAGAGTGAGGTTGATTGAGGGGCTCCAACTTAAAATGGGTAAAATTGTTTATATAGTTACTAAGATTTTTAAAACGGTTGTAGTGTCTGTCGGAGCGCTGTCATCCTGTCTATATTTTTTACATGTTCGTAGTATTTTTATACGTACTTCCTTACAAATAAATTTATTTAATTTGTTTCAGTACAACAGACGTGGAGTTAAACCAGGCGTTGGGCAAAAATGACTCAGAACGAGATGGGAGTGATGAATCGCTCCCGAAAGCTGTCAGCAGATTTCGTTCTGCTCTACCTCAGGTACGGGAAAATTTTCGCACGTATCATCACGTTAGTAGTAGAGCAAAAAATAGCCATAATGCATGATCGAATGCAATTTTCATTTCCTCCGTATTCATAGAGGAACAAAATCTAAAGCTTCATTCTCCACTCCTTTCATGAGATGAAACTTAGAAAAACTATCTCCTTATAGAATAGAGTAACACTGCTAACCAAAGCATTTCTGAAGAGAATTTGTATTATAAGCAAGTGAAGTCGATCGTTGTAACGAGCTTAAAGTTGAAAGCTTTTTAAAAACTCTGTTGTTATTAATTAAGTATCGCACATATTCTTCGACAGGCTACTGCGACTCACTGGCTACTCACTCGTTGAAGATGATAGGTAGTAGCCTGTCAACACATGTGTGCGATAATTAATGACAAACTGAAGAAATTGTATTGTTTGTTAAATATCATGCGAGTTCATACTTTGGTAAAACAACCAAAGCGAGCTCTTTCTATTTCATTACAATGCGAATATACGTTACCGATGGACTCATTAGTCATGGGTTAACGTAACGAGAACAAAGATTGATGTGAAATTGTTTTCAAGATTTTACAAGGCCTCGCTAATTAAAAAAAATCTTAATAAAAGTATGAATGTAAACTAACCTCTGCCAATCTGGAGGATTACTCCTTAGTTGCATACGTGCATTCGCGCTGACGGCCTCCGCTGCTTGGTGTGCGTTGGGCAATTTGACCTAATCGCGGTGATTATTCGCTAGGTGCATCTTAGCCCTTTATTCATCAGCCTATTCCAGCCCCTTATGTCATCAATAGTGGTGGCGCAACAGTACACAGCGCTGCGCTGAGATCGACAAGTGTGAGGTTTAAGTCCTAATATGCCTTCAGGGATTTGTTTACGTTTCTCGTGTTTTGTTTTGATTTCTTCACTCTTCATCTTCACATCACACATTATCATAGTTTTTTTCGAGTATTCGTGTAATTTTATTCATTGGTTTGATAAGCATTAGTGGGGTAATAATTATTCCGATTCAAAGAGAAAAAAAGAAGACCCTTCTCGGGATTTGTCTATCGGTGCTCTGCGCCCTAATTGATATTTAAAGACTTTTTTTCAATTAAATATATCTAAGGAATTCCTTTAAATACAGGTAATATAAAAGTATTAGAGTAACGCATAACGCAGAACAAATGAGGTGCGAGACGCCTTTGGGGGGGGGGGGGGTGAAGCGGTCAGGGTCAGGGGGTGCACTTTCAAGTTTCTTAATAAACTGCACTTTGCACCGATTTTAGCTGCAGGTTGAACTTGACCCTTCCTTCCCTCTCCCGGTCAGTTTTACGCCAAAGGTACCCGTTGACCCCTTCTTTTCTCACATTTTTTGTAACTTAGCAAAGAATAAGTAATATTTTTATATTACATGAGTATCCGAGAAAATGAGGTTACTAAGCACGCAATCAAAAAGGAGAACAAAAATGAAACAAAGATATGACAGGCAAGATTCCGTTGTTTCTCGGATTATGAAAAGTATCGATGGAATTAAAAGAAGTTCTTGTTTTTATTTTGCAGGTGCTAGCCACTACAGCCAAAAATTTGATTTTACTAGATCTAGGAATGACAATTGCTTTCCCAACAATTGTGATACCAACTTTATTAGACGGAAAAGACCCGAGTGGACTCACGTTCAATACAGCTCAGGCATCATGGTTTGGTGAGTTGCATAAAATAATTCTCATTTCAAAAATGTGTTTTTTCTTTTTTCAAGCAGTAAGACGTTTCTATTAATGTATCTACTGTCTTGAAATTACTGCGACGAGTATTTTTGCTGATAAATGTTCAATATCATCATAAAGAACTATAGCTTCACTGTATGTAAGAGTTCGGCATAAAATAGTGAAAGACTAGTTTGCGAGAGATCTTTGTCAGAAATTTTCCGGGAAAGGACCCCTGAACCTCCTTGATTCTGGAGGGGCCTAAACTTCCTTATTGTAGGGGGCCAGACTTCCCACCCCTACTTGACCAAGACTACCCCCTCTCCCCCGTGGAACATAAGCAGTTACGTCCCTGGCGAATGGGACTAATTGCGGTAATCGTTTCATTCAGGTCAGCGACTATACTGCAAAATGAACCAATAGACTATGCGCTGTCACACGGAGTGACTTAAATAAGCCTAGTTTGCACGGCCGTTTTAACTGATCCTGCTCCTCGGGGAATGATCTCGAGGTGTCTAGGCATCCGGTGGTGTTAAATAAGTTATGTAACTCGCACTGTCTGGAATGGGAATGTTAATTGCACACGCAACGACTTTCAGACAAGAGTCTGCTGCAAAATGAGCTTTTTGGCTGTTCGGTGATTCAAACGTTCAGCTGTACTGTACATATTGCTAGAAACTTAAATGGAGATGTTATGTGTCCTCCCTATTAGCAGAGTTTTTTTTTTTTCAAAGAAGTAAAATCTAAGAGGAAATGATACATCCAAAAGATAATTATTTTATACGAAGACCGTTTTACGTAACGGATATACTATGATTATGCAACGAAGATAGGATGTTTTTTAAAAGTAGCCATTTTTTGTTATCATTTTCTACACATCAACATAAAGGTTATCATAAAGATAATTCAACTGCTATAAACTTACTGTACAAAGTAAGGTATAATTGTTTTATAAACGAAAAAAGCCCCAAGTTTCCGTTTTATATTTAAAGTTTTTATTTCGCAGGAAATCCATTTTTTTAAACTTTTCGTAATAGGTTTTTTTTTTCTAAATACTACATCAGGAACCAGGAACATTTTAGTATCGTTCGTACAGTGTAATAGGTTTCTTTCTCTTCGTAAGTCGAGATAACTAAAAATGGGTACTTTTGACAAAAATATAGTATTCTCTTTATAAATACAGACCTACTCATTGATCATCTGTCATACGCGGCACTTTTTTTGTAACCGTAGGTAATCGTTTCTTGATATTATTTTACAAAATAAACATTGCACTCTGCTACTATGGCTATACGGGAAGTATTTCTTTATTAGTAACTGTTATTGCCATTTATAATGAGTTTTTTGCTATAAATGGCGAACAGGCCTATTCGTTTTTGGCCAGCATTTGTAGAAATTTTACTCACACCATGAGAGTCATTTGATGAGATGAGCGGAAGAATTTTACTCCTATCTTGGTATTTTTATTTTTTTACCTCCTCTTTGAATTTCATATACTCATCTAATTTGACATATTTTAGGAGTCGACACATTATTGTAGTATTGAGAAATGATGATTTTTAAGTGGGCAGTACAATGAACGAGGGAAATTGATTCATCGTGCGTGCCCAACTGAAGACATGAAGTGAGTGATCGCCAGCTTTTTGCTATGCCGCGGCTGCTGTTGCATCGCGGCAACTGCACTGTGTCTGATCTGACACGTGCTGATCAACGCGTCAAGAACTCCATAAATTAAATTAAAGTTAGACCATCAAAGCATACAAATTGGCTCAAAGTGGCTCGAGACGCGCCCAGCTTCTTTCACCGCTCGAGCTGGAGAGATGGCGAAAGCACGGAAGAGCTCTCTGTTTGGTTCAAGAAAAATTACGCACAGTATATGTGTATCTATTGACAGAACCTTCTGTTCACAGGGCTCCTTATCTTCATTACACTTAGGGGCCGTCAACAAATTACGTAAGGAACTTAGGGGGAGGGGGGAGGGGTCAAGCGCTGCCTTAGTATGCCAAGTTCCAATTTTTTTTCTTCAGACTTTTTATAATTGTTTGTCGAAATTGTATTTTTTTAGATTTTATTTCTTCCAAAATTTTGTTAATTAAAAGTCTGTGTAGTGCAAAATTCGTTTTTTTAGACATTGGATGTATTTTTGTTGCAATGTATTTTTTCCTGAACTTTTTCAATTCAAAAACTGGTTATTTATTCAATACAACTGCACTGAGAAAAAACTATGGCTTATAAACCTATTAGAGGTAAATATGGAACACCACTAATAGTAGTACCTCTACATATAATAATAGCACATATACCTTAGTTATGGTCTCTGTANGGTCTTGGATAGCTTTACGAGTGCCTTACGTAGGGGAGGGTAGTAGGTTAAAAAATCGCAAAAAGTGCCTTACGCAATTAGTGGATGGCCCATTACAGAAACTTTCTGTTGTGAAAATAGGACTCCGGTAGTGAGCACTGAGCACAGAGTGCTGTGTCCTCAAAACGGAAACGTCTGTAGTTGTAACAAAGAAAGAGCAGGAGCCCTATGAACCGAACTATTTTTTTAGCACCTCGGGAAAGATCAAATCAGGTTAGGTAATCTAAATCAAGGATTTAAAAGACTAGTAAAATCCAAAAAAATACAACCTATGATGGACACAGTTCAGTTAGGAAGTCATTGATCCCTGTGCCAATTCCAAAGACGCTGCTTTGAGGCAATGGAATGGAACAAAAAGGAAGAAATTGGCAGTTTTATGCAATAAAAAATACCTACATACCAATTGAGATTACGTAATGGGAATGGCTCGATCGCATGTAGATTTTCAGACTGGCACAATGATTATTGGGCATATCTTACGTAACCCAAATCATACTTTTTTATATAACTCTTACGCAACAGGGGCAGGAAATGCCGACGCCATACACTGAGAAAAAGCTATGGTTTATAAACCTATTAGAGGTAAATATGGAACACCTATAATAGTCGTAAATAAACTAATGATTCTCGGTCTGTGAACCATACTAAGGTCTCTGTACCTAATTAAGGTACAGAGACCATAACTAAGGTATATGTGCTATTATTATATGTAGAGGTACTACTATTAGTGGTGTTCCATATTTACCTCTAATAGGTTTATAAGCCATAGTTTTTTCTCAGTGTACGTGAAGGAGGAGGGACTCTCCTTTTATTGAAATTTGCAGTTTGTAGGAGGATATCTTTCGGAGGAATAACGAGAGTTTATTATGGAGTTCCACTTTTTAAGTCTGGAAAAGTGGCATTATAATAGCACGTAAATGTACCTCTAATTCTCAATTTATTCATAAAAAACCGTCGAGTTTGTGTTGTACATGTCTCTAAAAATGCCTATACTTTGTACATTTCGAGACGTTGTGAAATTCCACGCGAGCTACTTATCATTAACAATTATCGTAAATAATGAAATTTTATGAGATTTGTATTTTTTTTTTAATTTTTTAATATGAATCAGTAAATAGTGAACTTAGTTTACAACCCTGGATTTTTTTTAAACAATATTAACAGATGCGATACTTTGTTTCGTTTAGAGCTTCAGGTTTCTATGTTAAGCTCTCATTTAAACGCCCATCGCCTAGGAAGCCAAGATGTCGTCAAAAATTATCCCTTCCACCGAGGAAAAAACTTTCTACCTCGCAATATCCCTCTACACTGAAAAAAAACTCCGGCCGTGGGAGCCGCAATTACGGGCTATACAGGGTGTCTCGCGAAAACCGAGCCACCTTGAATATCTGCCGAACGCGTCGGAATTTCGAAAAACGGTAAAAGACGTGTTCGTTTATATCGAGGGGGACACCTTTTGGCGTATTCGAAATTTTCCCAAACCGCGGGAGGGGCGCGGGGTGCCCCACCCGTAAGTCGAACTTTTCAAATGGCACCCCCACTTTTTTATTTCAGAAATCAATGCTACGCAAAAAAACAAGCCACCTTGTCCAAACCGAATGTAAATCGGACAATTTTTCAGTGATTGACAGAGTTTGAAACATTTTTTTCATGCTCTTTTCAAAAATTTCCCACGCCC